TGTTCTTTCTGGGAGCTTTTTTCTACCTTATCCTCCATCTCACTGATTCGATCCTCGGCTTCATCTAGCCTGCTTTGGATTCCTTCTACTGTGTTCTTCAAATCAGAAATGGTATTCTTCATATCCTCTTGTGTATTCTTCATAGTTTCTATGTCCTTTTCCAAGCAGATATAGTTTGCTGTAAGATCCTGATAGTTTCTCTGCAGTTTCTCACAGTTATCTTTGAGCTGGCTGAGCTCATTGAGCTTCCTTAGAGCCATTGTTTTGAATTCAGTATCTGATAGTTCCCTTGCCTCCACTTCATTTAGCTCTCTCTGTGGGAGTTTCCCTTTTCCACTCATTTTGGGGGAACTTCTTTTTCTTTCCATTTTTGTGAGAATCTATTAAGTAAATAAGTAATTAATTTATTTATTTTTGCTTCTGCTTCAATTGGGTCATCTAGATTTCCTGACTTTGTGGATTAAACTTCTATGGTAGTAGGTGGTCTTTTTATTTATTTATTTATTTATTTATATTTTTTAATTTTTTAATTTTTTAATTTTTTAATTTTTTATTTTTTTACTTTTCTTTCTGGGCCTGCCTCTGATGATGTCAGTTGTTGACCTTATATGACCGTGGGTTGTTTGTTTGAGCCTTCTAGGAGTCTACTGTCTCTGTCTGACTCCTGCTTTGGATACCTTTGTGACCCCTTCAGCCAGGGATCCACTATTTCTGTGGATCACTCTGCATTCTCATGCTGGCTCCTTGAGCACGCTCCCCGGCCGGCAGGATCCCCCACCCGCCTGTGCTCGTGCAGGCTTGCCCCTGCCCTGAGGTGCTTATTCGTGACCTTGCACACTTGTCTGGCCCCATGCCCGGCAGGCACCCCGGAACTGGTCAGTTTAGGGTGTTCTATTGTGTGCTTTCCCTGTTTTTGGCTCTTTGGGGTCATCCCCTGCTCACGCAAAATGGAGACTACAGAAATGGTAGGAAGTCTTCTCCAGGGCTCTGGTTAATCCTGTCCCCAGTCTCTCCTCCAGGGTCTCTGGGCAGCTCAGTGACCCCTTCTGCCCAGGATCTACTATTTCTGTGGATAGCTCTGCACTCGCGGGCCCATGTGGGCCAGTTTACGCCTGCGCTTGCCAATCTGTGCACTCCCTCATAGGCCCCTTGGGCGCCAACCTGTGGGAGCCCTGGCCAGCCCTCAAGGGTCTGCACACGCGTTCGCCAACCCTCACCGGCCACTTGCCGCGTGTGTGCGTGCCTGCACTGGGTGATTTTGGGCTGTCTATTGTGTGCTTTTTAGCTTTCGGCTCTTTGAAGGCGTTGCCTACCCACGCACAATAGAGACTATGGAAAGGAGAAGGACTTGGGATTCCCCATTCATCCTCCTGTTCTTTCCCCAACGCCTCCGTTTCCAGTCTCTCCTCAGTGGTCTCTGGGCAGTTCTGTGACCTTTTCAGCCAAGGATCCACTATTTTTGTGGACCGTGTTGTATTCACAGGCCATCTGGCTCCTGTGTGCCTGCTTCTGCCTCTTTGCGGGTGTGCCCTGCCTGCCCAAAATGGAGACTATGGAATGGGGAGGGAGTCGGGACTCCCCGGTTCCTCCTCCTGTTCTTTCCCCCATGCGTCTGTCTCCAGTCTCTCCTCAGGGATCTCTGGGCAGTTATGTGGCTCCTTCGGCCAAGGATCCACTATTTCTGCAGACCACGTTGCAATTGCGGGCAGTCTGGTTTGTGCGTGCCCTGCTTCTGCCTCTTTGGGGGCACGGCCTGCCTGCCCAAAATGGAGACTACGGAATGGGGAGGGAGTCGGGACTCCCCGGTTCCTCCTTCTTTTCTTTCCCCAACGCCTCCGTCTCCAGTCTCTCCTCAAGGCTCTCAATGCAGCTGTGTGACCCCTTTGGCCAGGGATCCTCTATTTCTTCCAGCTTGTCTGCACTTAGCCCCCCAGCTCACATGCACACAAGCTGTGTGCGAAGCGCACAGAAGGCAGGTTAATTGATTCCCTTATGCCTGAGCGAGATGGTAGCTGCAGAGTAGGAGATGAGTTATCACCGGGGCTCTGCAGGCCGCTGTCTCAGTTCTCTTCACAAAGTTTTCCTCACCAATCTTTTCCTAAGCACCAGCCCACTCTGCTGCTGCTTCTACTCAGAGATCAAGGAGGGTGGCTGCCACTGCAATTTTTGCGTTGGCCCTTTAAATGTCTCTTTGCATCCCCAGCCGCCTGTCTCTGGCAGAGAGCGCCCCTAAGCTTTATGGGGTTGCGTTTTGTCTGTGTGTTTTCCTGGTTTTAGCTGCTGTAGTGTAGGGGTCCCTTGTTTATGGTTCAGACCCTGTTCTTCTCATGGGGAGCTAACTGGCCGTTTCAATGTCTCTCTGGTGCTGGTGCCCGTTGGCGCCCAGCCCACCCTCTCGAGCCTCCACCACTCTTCTCACTCGTTGGGATATGTGAGCTGAATCCACTGTCTGTCCGCAGCTCCAAGGCTCCTCTTCCACTATCATTCCATTGTTTTCCAGGTGATTTCTCCACTATTTAGTCACAATTCCAGTTTGGTCTTGGGAGGAGGTCAGGGTGACTCCCATTCACTCCTCCGCCATCTTCCTTCCAGAATCTACTAGAATTGATAAATGAATTCAGCAAAGTAGCAGGATACAAAATTAATACTGAGAAAATCAGTTTCATTTTATATGCCAATAATGAACTAACAGAAAGGGAAATAAAAGACAATCCCACTCTAATTGTTTCAAGAAGAATAAAATACCTAGGAATAAACTTAACCGAGGATGAAAAAGACCTGTACTGGGAAAATTATAAGACACTGAAGAAAAAAATAGAAGAAGATACAAGTAAGTGGAAGTACATACTATGTTCATGCATAGGAAGAATTAACATCATTATAATGTCCATACTACTCAAAGCAATCCATAGGTTCAGTGCAATTTCTATCAAGATTCCAATTATGTGTTATCATAAATGAGTGCTGGATTTTATTCCAGTGACAAATATTTCAAGAATGTATATGGAACCACAAAAGGCCCAGAAAAGTAAGAGTGATTTTGAGAAAGAACAAAGTTGGAGGAATATGCTACCAAATATTAAACTATACTATAAGGTTATAGTAATCAAAACAGCATGTACTGGCATAAAAACAGACACATAGATCAACAGAACAGAGTAGAGAGCCCAGGAATAAACCCACACCTTTATAGTCAATTAATGTTTGACAGAGGAAGCAAGCACATGCAATGGGCTAAAAGTAGTTTATTCAATAAGTGGTGTTGGGAAAACTGGGCAGATATGTGAAGAAAAACGAAAGCATACCACTTTCTCACACCACACACAAGGATAAATTCAAAATGGATCAAAGACTTAAATATTAGATCTAAATCATAAAAATCCTAGAAGAAAACATAGGCAGCAAAATGTTGGACATTGCTTGTAGCAATATTTTATCAGATACATCTCCCCAGGCAAGAGAAACAAAGGAAAAAATGAACAAATGGGACTACATCAAACTAAAAAGTCTTTGCACAGCAAAGGAAATCATCAACAAAATTAAAAACCCATAGAATGGGAGAACATATTCACTGATAAAACTGGTAAAGATTTAATATCCAAATTTATTAAGAACTTACAACCCAGTTAAAAAATGGGGAAAGGACCTGAATAGACACTTCTCCAAAAAAGGACATACAGATGGCAAATAGACATATGAAAATATGTTCAAATGTCATGAATCATCAGAGAAATGCAAATTAAACCACAGTGAGATATCATCTTATACCTTTCATAATGGCTACTATTAATAAATCAACAAACAAGTGCTGGCCAAGATGGGGAGAAAAGAGAACCCCTTTGCACTGTTGGTGGGAATGCAGCCTGGTGAAGCAGTATGGAGATACATCAAAAATTTAAAAATGGATCTTCTTTTTGACCCCACAATCTCACTTATGGGAATATTATCTGAAGGAACCCAAAACACTAATTCTAAAGAATATAAGCACCCCTATGTTCATTGCAGCATTATTTACAATTGCTAAGATATGGAAGCAACCCAAATGTCCATCAGTAGATGAGGGATAAAACAACTATGGGACATTTACACAATGGAATTCTTCTTGGCCATAAAAAAGAGACAATTTTACCTCTTTGAACAGTATGGATGGATCTGGAGAACATTACGCCAAGTGAAATACGCCAGTCAGAGAAAGACAAATACCATATGATTTCACTCATATGTGGAATCTAATGAACAAACTGAACTAACAAGGAAAATGTGGACAGACTCATGGATGGAGAGCAGGATGACAGCTGGTAGTGGAGGTAGGTAAGGGGAGAGAGGGATTAAGCAAAAAAAAAAAAATAAAAGGACTCATGGACATGGACAACAGTACGGTAATTGCTGTGGGTAGGAGGTTATAAGGGGACTAAATGATAATGGAAAAAATTATAATAAAATTTAAATAAAAATTAAAAATAAAATAATCACTGGGTCTAGATGGGAGTGTGACTGAGGTTGGAGGCAGGACAATCAACTGACTAGGAAGCTACTGAAGTAGGCTAAAGGAGGGACAGAGAGAAACTGAGGGCTTGAGTTAGGGCAGGTGGTAACATGATCCCAGGAAAACTGAAGCAGGCTTCTTTTCTCCTTTCACAGAAAGTCTCAGACCTCATGTTCTCTCTGCAGTGTCCCTACCCTACTGCCTTCTTGACTGGAACCTGTATGACCCATGAGCTCACACTGGGAAGGTAAAAATTTCCAAATGGATCAAACTAGGATCAAGATTCCCAACATGAGTATTGAACAGGGTGCAGGGATGGTGGGTAAAAATAGACATTATCCTATTCTGTGGGCAGTCTGTGAGAAGCCAGCAAACAATGTGCAAAGATTTATTGAAGAGTAGGGAGATAGCTGGGGCAAGCTTGGTGATGACAGTGGCCCTAAGCTGACCAAAGGAAAGTAGGACTGGATGGGGAGGGGACGTTGGAGAGAGCTCTAAGCATAATGGAGAAACTTCACACTGGCAGAAGGGGGAAAACAGCGATTTCCAGAACCATAAAGATGGTACCTACACAGCAGGTGTATACTAGTGTTTAAAGGAAGCCATGGTTAGCCTTGAACAGACAGAGAGCCTGGTGAAAGTTGTATCAGAGACCATAACTTGGCAGCTGAAGGAAAGTAAAAGTGTTCTAGAAAGTCAGCAGGGAGCCAAGACTACAAAGAAGAACACGCTGATGCCCCCATAGGCTGTGAGAAACTTAAAGATATGGGAGGACTTTCTAAGGAGAATTGTGTATTTTTTGAAGCTTCTCTGGGAGACCGCATAAAGCACAAAGATGTGGAAGAATGTTGGCCAGAGCCTGCTAGAGGGGCAATGAGTGAAGATTGCAGACTGCCCCAGGGAGCTAGTTGAAGAATAATGGTATTCAGCAGGCTGCCTGGAGGCACCAGCCACATTCTCTCTGTCTTTATGACAGTCAGGCACCTTTTCCATACCTTTAACCCCTTGAACCTGTCAAAACTCCATGATATTATTCATTAGAGGGAATCAGTAAAAGGGTGTGGATGGATCAGCACAGGAATACACCACTGGCACTAAAACACAAGCCAGGTGGTCTGAAGCGGAATTGTATTTGTGCATGTAGGGGAAAAAGCGTTACACAGCTGAGAGATCCTGCCCAGTCTGAAAGCCGAATTCTGTATCTACTCTCACAGTATTTACTTTTCCTGTTAAAACCTACCTTTGAGTTTGGAGATCTGTAAGAGGGCTGGAAAGCCATCCAAAGTATTAAGCAGCCAAAGTTTAAGTTTCTTACTAAATAACTGGACAGATTTCCAGTTATGTAAATAGAAACATCTTCCAGAAAATCATTAAGGAGAACATCTTTAATTCCCCACAACAAAAGTGAAGAGATATTATGACTGCTGGCCAGTGCAGGTATCCTCTAATTACAAGTAGCCAAAGGTCACATATGCCACGAATTCAGAGAGAAGGCCCCACCTAGTCAAAGCGGGCAGCCATGCTGCAGCTGTTGCCACAGTTCACTGAGCAGGAGCAGAATTTGAATTTTATTTGAAGGTGTTAAAATATTGATAATGGATTCAAAAAATGTTTTTAATCCTTACCTGAGGAAGAGAGAGAGAGACACAAACACAGAGACAAAGAGATCAGTGGCCTCCCACAAGTGCCCCAACTGGGGATCAAACTCAAAACCTAGGTATGTGCTCTGATGAAGACATGAACCCACATTTTAGTGGGTATGGGAAAATGCTCCAACTAACTGAGTCACCCAGCTAGGACTGACTTAAAATTTAAAGCAACACTATACTGGCCAATAGTAGGTGGGTCAAACCAAAATATTTAATGGCTGAACCTAGGCCCTGGTTTTCAACATTTGTATTAAAAACTCAGAATCACAAGATTGTTTCCTAAAAAAAAAAAGAAAAAAGAAAGATAATGGTTCATGATTGCTTAAAAAACAAACAAACAAACAAACAGATATTCACCACAGAAACTGTAGTGAAAATATAATTGGCCCCCAAACTATAATAATCACTCTAGAGATAGAGTATAAAAACAAACAAACCCAAAACTCCTGGCAGTTATGTATATTTTATTTTAAAGCACTTATTCTAATAACTCATTTTAACATGTCTTCTTTTATTGAAATTACCTGAGAAAGAATTTTGACTCAGTTTGGGGTTCTTTGGTCGCTGAAACCAAAGGCTACCATGTGTACTGGCTTCTACCTTCCATGAGGTAACTCAGACTCTCACTAAATTCAGAAGGAAAAGCTGAGTTTTAGGGAACTATCAAAAGCTTGTGATCCTCCAACCCTGCTCTTTACTGCTCAGACCCCTAAAGTCCATGGACACTGTGGAGAAGGGCTGTGGTTCTACCCCAGCCTTTGGCACCCACTTCTGGAAGGATAAAAACCAGAAACTCAACTGATATTTTCTTACCTTGTACTTCTGTACTTCATAGGGTTTAAAGAGCTGGCACACCTCAGGCAATGACATAAGCATGACAGTATCTTGCTGCAGAGATTTGCAGAAGGAAGTAAGGAAGTTCTCCACCTGAGGTAAGGAATGGAAGGTATCTCCAAAAACTTGTTTTGGGTCTGGTGAGACTGAGTCCCCATATGTACTTAATTAGCCCCAAGTGATAATAGGATGAGTTTCATTCCAATTAATGTAAAACTTAACCTATCAGCTTTTCCATTTGGGTAGAATAATGAGGAACACATTTTCATGAAGTTTTTTTGAAAGGAAAAGAGTTTGAACCACAAGAGGGCCTCTGTCGATTATAATAGGATGAGGAAATGGCCAGGGGGGTACAGAGCAGAGTTTAGAATGAATGTTCACTGACTGGTTGACCCTGTTATTTTTCAGGTCTGAAAAAGGATAACAGTACTTAATAAAAGAGGCTTCCTCCTTGACCTTGAGTTAGAATTTACCTAAGGTTTCTGTAAGCAAAAGCGGCCTGGAGTCATTCTACACAGGAGCCTTCTTTAAAGACTGATGTGGACAGCTTTTATTGAGGAACATGTGAATGAAAAGGGGCCACATATTAACCTGACAAGCTCAGGGAAGGCCTGTGAGGCAGACTTACAAACTCAGAGACTTAAAGTAACCACAAAGGATGGTCTGAAATTAGAACTTATTAACTAAAAGTAGTCATGGTAGGTAGTCATGGCCAAGGCTGGTATTTTTCCCTAACAAAGATCAATTTTTACATTAACTGAGCCTGTCTGCTGTCTTTTTGCACCTATGATAACATACTTTGGAATGTCAAGGTCACTTTTCTTTTTCCAAACCCCTTGGGACTATAAATTCCCTCATTGTTATTGTTAACATGTAAATTTTTTTCTGTTAACTATCCTGTATTCACCTGTATAAAACAAACACGTGTTTTATCATTTTACCTTTTAACCAATCCCAAAGTTCCCCCACCCCAACTTTTTTGCTTTTTCCTATCTCCTTACTCTATCATCAATGGATTTCAGGTAGTCCCTTTATGTTTCCTCCTTTGATTGTAATGTATAAAGTAAAGTGCTAAACTGCCATTCTCCCAGAGCATTTCTCAATTTGTTGAGACTTTGCTTCATGGCAATTGTTGTCAGTTTGGCTCAAATAAACTCACCAAAAATTCTCTACACATTCAAATGTTTGTTACATTGACAAACAAAACAGCAGCTTCCTTTTCTTTATTTTCTCCCATGTTGATTTTTCAGATTCTGTGGCTGAACCTTGTGGCCAACCTGAGTTGCCAGTTATTAATAACTCTTGACTATTGGGGATTTCTGCAGGTTCCAGTATTCTAAGGCATGCAGCCCTGACACAAGGGCCCACCAGGGACTTCAGGCGAGGCACTGCTCCCCCTGTGCAGGCTGTCAAGGAAGTTGGGGCCAACCCTTGAGTTACCCGATCTAAAACCCTGTTATTAGGTGCATGACTAAAGTGTATAGAACAAGCCATCTCTACAGAGACTCATAGTTATTCAACAAGATATGCAGTAGTGGGACAAGTGGGATATGTTAACCCTTTCCTTCTTAGGTCGGTAAGTTTGGAGCATGACCTTTTGGGGTTGGTGGGTTTCAATGAGAGTAGCTATGGGCTCATCTCTGTTTATTCCCTCACCTCCCATGTCCAAGTTATCAAATCCTGTTGCATCTACTTCAGAAATATTTCTCTCTGATGCCATCGTCACTGCTCCCCATCTGACAGCCCTCATCATTTCTTACCTTGCCTATGACAAAACATCCTGACCATACTCTCTGCTCCAATATGGCAATCGGTGTCACTGCTCCCACACTGTCTTCTCAATAATCATGATTCTTTACAGGGCATACAAGGCATTTCCTAACACCAGCCTACTTTCCCACCTCCCCTTTGGCTTCCCTCCTTTAAAGATACTAGCCACAGTGACGTTTTTGTCATTTGTCTGTACACATCTTGCTGCCTTTGAATGCACTTATTATTCTACCTGGAATCCCTTTCCCACTCCCTTTTAGTCTGTTGAATCTCTGCTTTTCCATTGGAGTCCAGTGCATGGCCACCTCTTTGGAGTCCACCCTAGCCATCTCTACTTCTGGGCACTCACAACAATCTAATCATGCTGCTATTCTACAGTTTACTATACAGTAAAATACTTATTGGCTTATATTGCTCCTTTTAGTACCAGACTACAACTTACCAAGACTTATGGACACTACTTTACTAGTTTCAGAAATGGTACTGGTCACAGGGTAAGAATAAGTTAATATTAATGAGTGAATGAAGAAAAGGAGAAATATAATAGATATCCAGTGTGGGTGTATATTTTAAACATTGCATTAATAGGACAGGGGCCACTTTTAAGACATCTTGGTCTCTACCTCACTACTATGCCTTATACTGAAAAAGTATTTACTAAATGTGCTCATGCTGAATGAATATAATCACCCAAAGCTGAAGTATTTCAAACACTAAAACATCAGAAAAGCTTTTATTTAAATGTGTACTTGTTTCCCTAGGTTTCCATTTTTCTACTGCAAAAGATAAAACTCAGGATGGTTAAAAGATTTATTTGTGTTTTCCACAGTTCATTTATGATAATATCCATGTCAAATCATCCTACTTGAAAACCATGCTTCTTTTTCAGTTAGCATGCATCAATAAAATGACTAGCATTATTGAAAATCCCAGGATGAATATTACCAATACTCTATTCAAAATCAGCTGGAATTAGGATCTAAAAACATAACTGAATTATATTTAAAGCATAAAGTTAGATATATTAGCACCTTGGAAAATTCCCAAATGATTAAGCTGAATAAAAATATCACCCTCAAGAATTCATTAATTGTAAAATAGCTGAATTCTGTGCCCTTCAGTGCAGTGAATTACCAGTAGACATGTCTTGTGGGGTTCTTTCAAGTAAAATGGTTAATAGTGAGTCATAAACACTTGTATTTTATAGATAAAATCATACCCTTTCAGGTTCTTGGTTCTTCACATTTTGTAAAATGCCTTGACAATAGTTGCAGTATTCATCAGCAAGAAAAGACATTTAGGAAAGAGGTGAAAAATTATTTCAGTTTGCAGTCTATTTTAAGAATGAACTTGCTCCTTAAAGGCCATTATGAAGTCTTTGGAGGCTGTTGCAATTCTGATATGACAGTAGTTGAGTATCTTTGGAGTAATGCATACTTTATTGGCCTAAAACTGATGTAGCTTCAATTTAAATATCGTAACTCCAGGGTCTGTACCACCCTTTATAAATGTCATCAATCATTGATACCTTTCTCCTTAAACCCCAATTTCCCCCCTCCATAACCCCAGACCCAGTTTCTAAAAAATCCACATTCTGTTCCCTTCCCAGTCATGGAAGGCTCTCACTCTAGAAGATGATATAGTGGTCCCAGGTATAGCCTTTCTATAGAACAAGAGAGGAAGACCTGAATTTCCTGACTACCACTAAGCCCAGGAGGAAAGGTTGGTCTTCATGTGCCTGAGAGAAGGCAGATATTACTCATCTGGTACAGCAATCATAATAGGTAAATAAAAAGACATTTACTGCCTGGGGTATCAAAAGCATAAAAAGCAAGTCTCCCCAGAGTGCAGGGCTACCATTTCATAGTGGTACTTCTTTGCCAGTTCTTGCTCCCAGAATAGACATCTCCTGAATTCAGACAAAGGCAATCCTACTGGCTCTGTTATCAGTGAATGATTTTCATACTAGAAACCATTTACACATGGATTATTTTTTTAATAAAATGTATTTTCTCACATATAAAGCATATAATAATCACATCACTACCATAGGTTAGTGTTCTGTGTAATCTTTTATCCATACCTCTGCAGACTTTATTGATCCCAGCAACTTTCCCCTTTATTTTATTTCAAAAGATACTTTCTGTTATAATTCTATTAATTATGGTCATCAAGAAAGAGTTAGAACTTAATATATTAGCCAGATGTATCACTCTCATGATCATGTATTACAAGTGCTGTATAATTACATGCAATGAAAATATTATCTATAAATAATTTAATGCCACAAATATATTTTTACACCTCTTGTCCACCTAATTGTCCCTCCTTGAGTCACCACATCTGTAAGTGGCTAGTTCTATCAGAAATCTTAGGCCCAAACTAACAAGGAAAATGAGAGGTGCAGACTTTCCTTTAGAAAAACAATTTACGGAAAGGTAAACTGTTTCTATCAAGGAGGAAAGAAGGTAACCCTTAATGATCAAAGCCAGCATTTCTTGAGTGTCCTGAAAACATCTATCTTAGAATCTGTGGGGGTGCTTGGGGGTCATCTCCTTAGGGTTTTCGTAAATCAGATGAGGCCAGAAATCTAATTTTAACTAGCTTCCTAAGTGAGCCCTATGTACACTCAAGTTGAGAACTTCAGCTCTAGGCAGACTGTTCTTTGTCCAACTTTGCATGAATCTATATATTGCCACATGGAAAATGCATCATAATTTCATCTGTTCTGAAGAAGTCACTTGAAAATACACTATTATAGTACTTTAAGAAATTATTACAAGGAGAATATGAGTAAGCATATATTGTAATAATAAAAATAATAAAAAGTAAATTCATGTGTCTCTGAGGTCAATTCTCTCAGGCCTTTTCCTGTGAAAGGAATTAATCTTTCGGTAAACAAAAAAATTTAAATCATAAACTGAAATATTTTCTTCAAAATATAAACAATTATAAATCTAAAAAAGTGTGGGAAAGAACTTCACTAAAATTTGAAACTGTCCAGGAGAAGGCACTCAGTAAAAAATTAGAGGGATTCCCATGCTAGAAAAGTCATTCATCAAAATAACTTTGGGATTTTCAAAAGATCCAGAAATGTCATTGGAATTATTGTCATTCATTTATTCCACCAACCTTCAGTGAGCACATATGATGTGGCAACCTCTAGAGATACAATTGGTGGGGGGCTTCCTGTCATGGCCCACCCCTTTAGGCACCATCTGCCTCCCCTAAGTTACTCCATAAATTCTCCTTTATGCTTTTTGTTTTTTTCTGTATCCTTGAAGATATTACTCCCAAAATTACCACCCCAAAGCAAATGTATCCTATCACTTTCCTTCGGAAAATGCCTCAGTGGTTTCCTACAATCTTCGGGTGAAACCCAAATTCCTCAGCCTGGCATTGACAAGCTATCTATCATCTGGGCCTCACCCAGAGTCTCTTGCTGCCCAATGTCCTTACTTCTGGCTCCTCACTGCCCACATACCTCCTAGGACAAATGCAAGCTAATGCCCTCAAGGTGAACATCTCCTAAAGAAGGATTCTTGTAACCCAGAACTAGCTCAAGGGCAGTGTTGCATGCAGAATAATGGCTCCCCAAAACTTCCACATCTTAATGCCTGGCAAAAGGGACTTTGCCGATGTGATTAAGGATAAGGACCTTAAGATGGAGAGATTATGCTGGATCATCCAGGTGACCTTGGTATAGTAAAAAAGGTCCTTAAAAGCAAAGGACCTTTCCTAGGTGCAGAGAATCATAGAGATGGAAGCATGGAGAAAGACTCAGCTGGCTGGCTTTGAAGACTGAGAAGAGCAACAAGCCCAGGAACAGGGCAGCTTCTAGAAAGTGGAAAAGGCAAGGAATGGATTCTCCCCTAAGTCCTCCAGAAGAAACACAGCCCTGCCAGCCCTTTGCTCTTGGCCTGGTGAGAACTGTGTTGGACTTGTGACATGTAGAACTGCAGGACAATAAGTTTGTGCTGCTTTAAGCCATCACATTTGTGTTAATTTATTACAGCAGCAATAGGGAATGAACACAGGCTATCTTTTCTGAGAAGGCCCACCCTTCTTTGAAGTTCCATAACTACTGATAGCCTTCACTGTGCATTGAGTAGAACAGTTGTTTCATGGCTACCTGAATTCTCCAGCTACAAAACAGTATTCTACTCAGGTAAAGGGACCATGAATATTTTTTTTGTGTGTTTTTAGTTTTCTTTCATACTTCATTCAGCCTTCACTAGTGCTGGTCACAAAACAGGTATTTAAAACATTTCCATTCAATGACATTTGTCAACAAGACTGCATCAAAATGCTATTGTGTTGTCTTGGCCAACTAAAATAAAATTCAACTCATGATGTCCTAGCTATTAACAGTTCTAGTATTCTAATTCAAAGAGCTATAATTGTAATATAGAGACATTTTTACACAGATTTATTGTTCAAAACCTATGCATCCATTTAAGTTACAGTGAAAGAAACACATTAAAGAGCAGATGGGCAGCCACAGAGGATGCTGCTTGATGCTGCTTGATGCTGCTTGAAGACAGGGACCTTATCTCTCCCAGCATAATGTGTGGCACATAGTGAACATTCAACAATCAATGATGGTCAAATGGGTGAGTGGTTATGGCTACACATAATAACATTATACACAGGAAAATAGTGGCACCTAATTAAGCAGTTACTAAATATTTCAGGGTCTTTTAGAGTAAATCTATTTTATTCAGTACTCATGATACAACTTGTTGGATAATGCCGTAATAATTAGTAGATTTTTCAAAGGCAATGACATCTCCATTGTGACAGAACAGATAACAGAATAATAATTTTAGTAAGACACCTGTTTCTGAACACAGGGACAAAGTTTCTTTCACAGTGAGTCTATTTGTATGAGATAAAACTTATTTCAAAACCATCTTTCAAGTTTCTATCTACAACTCACCAGTTATTGCAGTTATAAAAATCCATTCTGTGATTGAGACAAATACATATTTATTTTTAAAGGTTTATTCCTTATAAAAGAAGGATATGATATCACCATGGGTAGAATTTGCTCCTGTGAGAAAAGAAAAATCATCATGGATATGAAGTCTTATACTTTTATCTTTACAATTTTATTTTTATTTTTTAAATTTATAAATCATGTTTATTCTATTATAGTTGTCTCAATTTTTACCCCTTTACCCCCTTCCACCCATCCCACCTCCTGCCCCCACAGTCAATTCCCACTCTGTTGTCCATGTCCATAGGTCATTCATACATGTTCTTTGTCTAGTTCCTTCCCCTTCTTTCCACCATTGTCCTCTTTCCCCATCCCCTCTGGTCACTTTCAGTCTGCTCCATGTTTCCGTGCCTGTGGTTTATTTTGTTTGTTAGTTTATTTTGTTGAATAGAGTCCACTTATAGGTGAGATGATATGTTATTTGTTTTTCATCAACTGGCTTATTTCACTTAGCTTAATATTCTCCAGTTCCATCCATGTTGTCTCAAAAGGTAGGAGTTCCATCTCTCTCTCTCTCTCTCTCTTTCTTTCATGCAGACTGATTTTTTTAAAATGTCAAAGTTAACTATAAAATATTAAAAAAAATTTAAAACCATTATAAACTCTCAGCAATTAAACCAACATTACACCAGTACAGAGATAATCAAGTAGATCAATGAAATATAATAAGCATTCTAGAGAAAAACATATATATCTGTCTAACAAGGAAATATATGATTAAGTTGATATTTCAAATCAATGGGGAAATAAGCTTATTCAACAAATAAGGCACATGGTTCACTATTATTTGAAATAAAACAAATATAGAGGTCTATTTCACACATTATACAAGAAAGATTCAGGTGAGTTAAAAATCAATATGTAGAATCTAAGGAGTTTTAGAAGAAAATACAACTAATATTTTTCATGACCTGAAGTAAAATATTCAAACCCAGAAGATATAAAGTAAATATTGACAATATGCCTATATTAAACATTTAAGACTATATAGTAATATACATATAAAAAAAGTTAAAGAACAAGGAGTAGAATAGGAAAGTATTTGCAACACATCTAAAACATGGTTAATAGGGGTTTTTTTTGTTTGTTTTTTTAGGGAAAAAGTTCTATAAATCTTTAATCAATAAATGGATAAAGAATATCAAAAAGTCATTTAAAGCTTTTAAAAATAATAGAAATAGGCAAGAAATATACAAAAACAGGTTTAGTTTTAACAAATAGTGAAGGAACATTTAAAATAACATCATTGTCACAGTCAGATTAATGAGTATTAAAAATATTGGTAATATCAAGTATTTGTAACTCTGAAAGGAACTAGGTATTCATAGAAACTTTTTCTTCATCTTAAAGCAGTCCTTTTAGCATATTTTGCGGTGCTGGTTTGGTGGAGGTGTGTTCTTTTTAGCCTTCTTTTGTCAGGGAAACTCCTTATTTCACCCTCCATTTTAATTGTGAGCCTTGCTGGGTAGAGCAGTCTTGGTTGCAGGCCTTTACTTTTCATGGCTTGGAATATTTCTTGCCATTCCCTTCTGGTTTGTAGTGTTTCTGTTGAGAAGTCAGCTGCTAGCCATATCGGGGCTCCCTTATATGCTACTACCTCTTTCTCCCTTGCTTGCTTTAGGATTCTCTGTTTATCTTTGATATTTGCCATTTTAATGATGATGTTTCTTGGAGTGGGCCTCATTCGGTTCCTCTTGAATGGGGCCCTCTGTGCTTCCTGGACTTGTGTGAATTTTTTTCTTTCCTCCAATTAGGTAAGTTTTCCATCATTACTTTTTCAAATAGGTTCTCTATCCCTTCCTCATCCTCTTCTCCTGCTGGTATCTCTATGATACAGATATTATTACATTTCAGGTTGTCCTGCATTTTCTTCAAAGTCTTTTCATTCTTTTTGAGTCTTTTTTCATTTTCTTGCTCTTATTTCTACCTTATCCTTCAGCTTGCTGAATTGGTCCTCAGCTTCATGTAGCCTGCTTTTGATGTCTTCTACTGTGTTCTTCAACTCAGAAATTGTATTCTTCATTTCCTCTTTTCTCTTATTGATAGTTTCTATGTCCTTTTTCATGTTGATATAGTTTGCAGTAAGTTCCTCATGGTTTCCCTGTAGTTTTTTGTAATTCTCTCTGAGCTCACTGAGCTCATTGAGCTTCCTTAGAACCATTGTTTGGAACTCATTATCTGATAATTTACTTGCCTCTATTTCATTTAGTTCTCTTTCTGGGGATTCCTCCTTTCCCTTCGAGTGGGGAGTGTTTCTTTGTCTTCCCATTATTTGTGAGGCTCTTCTCTTTTGCATCTTATTCTTAAGTTGATCTGTCTTAATTTCCTGACTTTGTGCTGTGAACTTCTGTGGTTGGAGACCACCGTTTTTACTTTCTGGATCTGCCTCTGATGATGTCAGCTGTTATCCCTGTCTGACCTTAGGCAGTCTGTTTAAGACTTCCAGTAATCTACTGTTTGTGGCTGCCTTCTTCAGCTGTTAATCTAGTCACTCTGCACTCAGCAGGTTACCTTAGACAGCTCAGGGTGGGGTGGAGTCCCTCCTGGGCGTGGAGTTACTGGGTCCTCTCTTGCTGCTGCCATGTGGGGGAGGAGTCCTCACTGGGATCACGCCGGCTACTCTCTCCATTCTCTCCCCAAAACCTCTGTCCCCAGTCTCTCCTCAAGTGTCACCAGACCTCTCTGTGCCCCTCTTAGCCAGAGATCTACTCTCTGTGGCTGCCACCCAGGACTCAGCAGGTGGCTTAGACAGTACAGGGCAGGGTGCAATCCCTCCTGGGGGCTGGGCTATTGGGTCCTTTGATACTGGTGCCGTTCAGGGGCAGTGGTCTCTGCCTGAGCTAGATGGCTGCTTCCACATGGGTGATGAATCAGCACCAAGATCCCACCGGCTATTCTCTCAGTTCTCTCCCCAAAGCCTCCTTCCCTAATCTCTCCTCAGGGTCTCTAGCCCACTCTGCCCCCACCTTTGCTGGAGACCATGGTAAGTGGCTGCAAATAAAAATTTACACGTTAGTCCTTTAAACAATTCTTTGCGTTTCCAGCCGCCTGCCTCTGGCAGAGAGAAACTGTGCCGCTTTTCACAGCTGGCTGTTTTCTGTGTATTTTTGGGATCTGTTGTTGTGGGCTAGAGATCCCATGCTTTTGGTTTAGACTCCACTCTTCTCAGGGGGATCCAACTGGCCATTTCAATAGCCTTCTGGTGCTGCTGCCCATGGGTGTCCCACTAGCCTTCTTGAATCTACTGTATTTCTTACCAGTTAGATTGCGCTAAAGCCGATTCTTGTGTCTCTGAAGTTACAAGGCTCTTCTCTTGCTATTGTTCAGTTGTTTGTTCCAGGTGATTTCTCCACAATTTAGTTGTAATTCCAGCTTGGTACTGGGAGGAGGTCAGTGTGGCTTCCACTTACTACTCCGCCATTTTGAAAAATTTGAAGTCTTATACTTTCTGATCTGGGTTTTTTTAAATGATCAATTCAGAAACAATGATATTCTCTGAGTTGAGAGATATATCAGAGAACCTTCACAGAACAAGAAAACTGAGAATAACATGTAAGTTCCATCTTATTATGCCTCTTGAATACATATATTACACTGGAGACATGTATGTATCATGAAGAATAAACTCAGTATTGTCCAAGTGGTGTGGTATATTTTCCCTTTAATTGTGGGCATTTGTGAAACTGGAAAATATGGACCCTCGCTTTGCACAGGGAATGTGCATTCTCCAAATGCCAGACTTGGTAGCTTCACCTTCCCAGTGTCCTTGCTATTCAGAGGTGCAGCAGCTCTGTCCACTCCAACACATGTCCTCACACCTGATTGTTACATCTCTACATAAACACACTCTGCTTCTGGAAACAATGTCTTCAAGGCAGAGATGGCCTGGGATGGGAGGTGAGTCAGAGAGGAGATGAAAGGAAACAGCTTTCATCTCACACATCCCACATCCCCTTCCAGCCTCTCCAAGACCCCAGGAATATTTGTGTCAATTCATTCTCCAACCCAAGTCATGGAAAATTGGGCAGAAAAATTGACATCCATCTGGTCAATGTTTCCATGTAACACTCTATTAAAAACAGGGCAGATAGATTGAGGGTCTGGAAATAAACCCACTAAAAACACTCCCTTTTAAATTACTTAACAAGAGTTGTTATCATGATAGGAATTGAACTTTGAACTGCTTAATGGCAAGAAAGTTTCAGGACATAGGATATGTTCAAACTGGAAGATTAGACACACACACATACACACACACACAATTGACCCTTGGACCGTACTGGGGTGAAGGTGGGCATGGGTGAAGTTGATAGAGTTAGAAGCTCCCACTGCCTGCAAAGTTGAAAATCTGTGTATAATTTAAGCTGGTCCTTTGAATATGTGAATTTCCAGCCACCAGTTGACCCTTCAGAAACTAGGTTTGATGTGCACAGGTTAATTGAACTGAGCAGGCCAAATGAAAAACAATCTGCATATTAGTGGATCCACACAGTTGAAACCTATGTTGCTCAGGAGTCAACTGTATATCTCTACATAGGATGATGCAACGAAAGCCAAAGGTGAAGAATTTAAAATGTTAGTATTCTATTTGTTATGTTTTGATGATTTTTTTTCAATAACTGTGGACAATGGTAGGGTTTCTCCAAGTAAAATTTATAAACAGCTCATTGCCACACAGATTCTAGGGTATTGTAGCAACAAAAAACTACAAACAATAAAAACAATGAATAAAACCTAGAATAAAAGAAGACTGAAGAAAATATTGGAAATAAAAGTTCACTGAATAGACCACGCGCTCTTT